AGCGTTTCCCCTCAAAAATAACTTGCCCATCTACAAATATCCTGCAAACCAAAGGTTTCCTGCTATTCCCGGGGCTGCTCCGGTGCTCGGCAGGACCCGAATGCCGACCCCGGACAAAGGTGATCATTTGGCACCTCCGGCTCACCGGACACTGCCGGCACCTGCCAAAAAAAGAACCCCATGCAGGAGAACAGTTAGCAAGTCCTGCACAATTTTATCACGCTTCATTTTGGGGCAGAAGTAGCAGATTTTGCAAAGGAGAGCCCGAGAGCAGCACTGCGGCACATAGCCCGGTGCCGCCCACCTCCCCCAGTGTTTTTGTCCCTGCCTGTCCTTGTGAGGAAAGGAACTGGAACTTCGGCACCGAAACGCAGCAGCTGAGGTTTCCCAGCCCCAATCCAGCGCTGCGGTGATGCTTTTTAACACTAACGACCACCAGGCTTCCTCGGTCACGTTCTTACCAGGTCTGTGCATCTCGAGAGTTGCCATTGAGCATGATTGCCTTCCAGAGACGCTGAGATATACGGGCAACCTTAAACGCCTCACCTACCAGCGTGTCTTACCTGGAAAACACATCTCCATCATCCTCCCTTTCAGGATTAACTGTTCTCTTACAATATAGGGCCACCTCAGTTTCACACGGGGCCCAGCCCTCCTACAACAGCGATGGTCACAGCTTTGGAAGGACTCACGCTTCATCCCACATCTCCCTCTGCTTCCCACATACCATCAAAGGACAAGTATGCAAGTAGCTGGAGATGCTCATTAGCCATTCAGGCATCTTTCGCATAATCACGACATTAGTCACAGCCCGTTTCACTGCAGTCACTGCACTTTACGTCATTTTTTTCAGCTGTTTTCCTACATGAGCCATCAAGGAAGATTCTGGTCTTACCAGTTGGGGTCATTAAACTGGACTTTCTGTTAAAGACGCTCCAGCAAACTTCAACTCCCGACTGCTCGGACAAGAGGCTTCACTTTATTAACCCAATATTTCCCCAGATTTGCTAAGACAACTGCTAGAGTTGCGTTTCTTCACCGGGAAGAGACGACTTCATGCCTGGCTCCCCCTGCACCCAGGCTCTTCAGGACACAACTTCCCAGGAGCTGCACCACCTTTCCAATTCCTCAACAACAACAATAACAAGAACTACATGGGACACCCCCTGCCCCAAATCCCTCAACTCTGGGCTATATATATATATATATTTTTTTTTTTTCCACTTCTTTTCAATAAGTGCCCCTTCTTTGGTGATGTGGTTTCACCCATCTGAGATGATGCCTTGGGGCACAGCAACGTGAAATTCCCATGATAACAACAACAGACATTAAGAGATGAGATATGAAATAGTATCTAACAAGATAAACTTGTATGGATTAGGACCAGCATCTCTTCTTTGTCCTCATTTAGGTCACCTGTGCTCCTCTCACACCTTGTATCCCCCATACTGCCACCTCAGCCTCTGCTGACCGGTCCGTAACTGCACCGATATCAGCGCCGTACCCACACAGCCACATCCGTGCCGGCAGCCCAGAGGCCCAGGGCAGATTGGCCATGCCGACATCTGTTATCACTTCATGGGAGATGCTGCTTTCTACCCACACCATCAACATCCCCACCATTTGAGGGAGCCCGTGGCCGAATACGCTGATGACTTCATCGCCCACTGCTTGGCTGTTCGCCCGGGAGGCGGCATGTGGCCGCGATGCCCGTGGAGCTGAAATCGCCCTAAAACAGCCGACTGATTTCATACCGCTCCGGCTTCCACGCCTTGGGAAAGGCCAACCGCGCACGAGTGCACACACACACAAACACAATGTACAAAACATTTATTCAGAGCAGGTCTGCTCGCACTGCGTGCTCAGCAGTCGTTTCACCCCGCGCACCTCCTGGCAGGGCTGCGCTCACCTCCCGACCCCCGCCATCGACCCCCCCAGCCTCCAACGGACCGTCCCCTTCGCATCAGAGCACAAAACCCAACAGGGAGAGCAACCCAGGCAAGAAATCCATCCTCTCCCTCAGGAGCACGGGGCCCTGTTCCAGCCCCCTGCCCACCAGCAAGCACCGACCTTGGCAGGAGCTGGGGCTGGCCCTGGGCCACCAGCCCCAGCCTTGGACAGGAGTGGGGGAACGCCGCCACGCTACTCTGGCAACGCCGTCTCCCTCGCCCACAAAGAAAAGGCACTGAAAACAATGAGCGGTGCCCTTGTCCACTTGGAAAATCCTGTTCAGGATCAGTTCGGTGGCTTGGGAAAGTCCCGCTGGTGCAAGGGGGTGAGAAGATACATTGGGTGGTCCTTCTGTAAACCACCACAAATCACGTTTCCGGTACTTCCAGCCTTCATTTACTTCAGAGCAGCAGACCTACCGGCATTCACATTTCTTTCCCCACGATCTTTTGTCAAACCCCATCCCGGGGAAAGCCTGTCCCATGTCCCCGTGCCGCAACGCGACGCACCCATGGTGTCCTCCACATCGCAGCTTCCAGGGAGCCCTGATGGCCTTCGCACCCGCAGACCGAGCCCCCTCTTAGTGTGATTCCTTTTTTTAAGAAAAAAAATTAAGAAAAAAAACCCCAGCAGCGTCACCGATTCCCTCTTCTCTAAGTCATCTGCTGCCTCTCTGGCGCTTTCTCCTGGATGTCCTCGTACTTGGGCGGTGGGGTCAGCGGCTCTATCGTGATAGGGGCGGTGCTGTTCCCCTCCGTGAGGTTCAGCCTGATGTCCTTCAGGTGCAGCTTCTCTGACTTGATCCTCCGGATCTTCAGCGGCTTCAGGCGCTTGCTGAGGCGGGAGCTGTGCCGGCCGGGCTGTCGTTCCGTGCCGGCCTCCGCGCCGGCAGCACCCGGCGGCTGGGTGCTTTCCTCCAGCCCCGTCAGTGACTCGTAGGAGGGCAGGGAGAAGCTGAGCCTGCTGCTCCTGTCCGAGTCTCTGGGCTCCGAGTAGCCCGTGTTCATCACCTCCTCGTAGCTGGGGACGTAGTACTGGGAAGACGTGTCTTCGTCCTCTTCTTGACTAGAGGGGAAAACAATTGAGGCTATCAGGAGTGCATCGTTGCAGCTTCACTGCAGGTAGGGGATGGAGAGGAGAGAATAAAACAACCCCTCCAAAAAAAAAAAATTATCAACTTCCTTGCCCTTCTACATTATATACCAGTTCCTTTCAGTTTAAGAGACCAGATCATAGAATCGTTGAGGTTGGAAGGAACCTTTAGGATTATCAAGTCCAACCATTAACCCACCCTGACAAAACCACTTCTAAACCATGTTCACAAGTACCACCTCTACCCTTTTTGTCAACACCTCCAGGGATGGCCAATCCACCCCCTCCCTGGGCAGCCTCTTCCAACGTCTGATAACCCTTTCCCTGAAAAAAATTATCCTAATATCCAACCTAAACCTCCCCTGGCATAACTTGAACCTGTTTCCTCTCGTCCTATCACTTGTCACCAGGGAGAAGAGCTCAGCCCCCCCCTCTCTGCACCCTCCTTCCAGGGAGCTGTCGAGAGCGAGAAGGTCTCCCCTCAGCCTCCCCTTCTCCAGGCTGAACACCCCCAGGGCCCTCAGCCGCTCCTCACCACACTTGTCCTCCAGACCCCTCACCAGCTCCGGTGCCCTTCTCTGGACACGCTCCGGCACCTCAATGTCCTTCTTGTGGTGACGGGCCCCAAAACTGAACGCAGCACTGGAGGTGAGGTCTCACCAGTGCCCGGTACAGGAGGATCACAACCCCACTGAAATATATACAGACAGGTTTTTATTTCCTTGTGACATCCATCTGTCTTTGGTCATCACTCCCTTTGCCCACAAAACCTCTTTACAGGTTGCCCAGCAGTAATCTCTCCCCCCAGCAGAACACTGCCTTCTCCCCTCTCCACAAACCAGTCACCGTACGTTCGGAAGGGACATCGCCACTCCCCGTCTTTGCCCTTTGGATACCTTTCAGGTTGTCTATCTACCTGGAGTTTTAATGCCTGGAGACTCAGCTGCGCCACACGTACCCATCCACGCCAGCGGTACCCGCACACCTATATGTGGCATTTCTCCCGCATTATGAAGTTACCTTTAGAATCTAATAGGGAAAAGCAGTTTTCCAGGTGGATGTGCACAAACAGGGTAACTTCCCCACAGTCTCCGGTGGCCGTTCTCCCCACGCTGCAGCCAGCAAAGCCAGCGTCTCCTCCTGCCACCTCCCACCCCACGCCATCCCGACGTCCCCCTGCCTCTCCCCACACAGGCACAGCCCGCACCGGGGACTGCCACCATTCCCCACTCCGCCGGCACGGCCGGGGGCTTCTCCAGCGCCCCGTGTTTGCTCAGACCGTGACCGCGGCGGCGGCAGCAGCCTTTGCTCCGCTGGTTGGAGTTCCCCGAGCAAACGGCAGAGCCCTGCAGACTTTCACCGGGTCGAAACTCCATTTCCAGCCGCTGCCTAACTCCGGCTGTCTCCCGCCA